CGGAACCAAATGAGGCCTGGTGCATTCGTAGGACAAAACAAGAGAGAACCAGACAGCATGAAATCTGAATGATTGTCAGCGAGTAATACCTGTATGAAACAGACGATTAGATGGACTCTAAGTGCTAGCCACAGTTAAGACCGATTAGACAACCTTTGTCGACAACCATCGCATGCAACGTGCATAATTCACCCTTGCAACATGGCTACAGCTGTTGTAAGGCTATTATTAATTGTTTTAATCCCTCCAGCAGTTGTAGCTAAGTTGTAATGACTCTTGAAGCTTACATGCGATGTTTGTAAACACAAGCTGTGCAGCCTAATTCTTCCTTAAAAAGACTGATGTTCAGACAAGTAAGAATTTATTTTTCACTTATCAATTCCACATAACGCCCATGAGTCCCCATCACTACATTTTCTTTGATTTGCATTGCAACATTTTCTTATTGCTGAGTGACTACGCTTTTTCTGGTCTAAAACATTTGTGATGTTTGAAATATTAATCTTTTAAAGATATGTGTACTAGATTTTTAGAACTTATGTTAGCTAGAGAGCGAATCATTATGATATACGCTATACGTTTTGAAACCCTATATTTTGCAAGGTTTGTTGAAGTGGTTGTCATAATGACAACTAAATTTTGAAGCAAAAACTCATGGCTGCATGTCAATCATTCATTCCTAGTTTAGCTGATTCTTTATATTAGTGAAATTTTCCACCTTACCTCCCGATTAGTGGAACAACTTCAGACGTTTCTGGAATATGGGTAGACGCCAGTAAGAAGAAAACTGTCAGTGACAGCAGAAGCGTTACCCCCACAACCATCAACTCCCCGCTTGMAGGTGGAAGCACAAACAGCACTGTTGTCAACAACGATACCAGCATGCATGGCGTGATAAGGTACAGAAAGTAGTAGAAGACCTGTCGTTTGATGTCGATCACATAGATAACTCCTGATTTTTTGGCGTTCTCAAAATGTTTGATGGTTGTTTGGCCAACAAGAACACCAAGGAGGATCCATTCAGAACTTTCTAAGAAAATGAAAGACCAGTGTTTGTATTTTACCTAAAAGTTTAGCAACCACAAACAAACAATATTCTACTATGATTTTGCATTATGGAAGAAATCGAGAAAGAGGGCTAATGACGGAATCGTGTTTGGTATATGTTTGGACGATCCAATTTTCGTACCTGTATAATTCTTCAATACTTKTCTTTTTCCTGGCTGAATCTTCAGGTCTCCACTGGTCCATGATGCAAATTCAAGACCACAAAACTGCTCGTCGAATGGAAAATACCTGACGTTAAGTTTACAGGTACTCTTGAGAACCACCGGTGCTAGCCATCTTACTTTGCCGTTGGACGTGATCATGACGTCGTTGCCCTTGTTGACCGGCTTCCCCATAGTGGCATCATCAGCACTTTTA